AAGGCAGATAAAAACACAAGCGAGATATATTCGTATTATTATTTTTTTTGCTTACACATGTTGTCCATTTCGTTGGACTGTCGTCATTGTCAAGTTCAAGCCGGTTGTCAAGTTTCTTTTTCTTTTTGCCCCACCACGTGGCTAGCTAAGTAAAGAAAGTAGATTTATTTAGCCTTGAACATGGAGTTATATTTGAGTTTTACACAAAGTTATTACGTTTTCCGTCTACACAAGGTAGTGAAATAGAGGGATTCGCTTTCGAACAGATTCAGGGTTTCAAGGCCCCCGAGACACCTGCACCCATAACAACCCTAATACTTTCTCCTTTTGGGTGTGTGATATAAGACAGAAGCTGATGTTCCGTAGATACATTTTATTACTTGACGCAGTACTTTTTTTATAGCTCGGTAAACGGACCTAAACTCCTGGGAAAAAGAAAACACAAACTATACATCTCAAAAAGTGTGTAATAAACTTTAATTGCAAGGTTTGCATGAGCTCAATTTTTTCTTTCACGGGGTAGTTGATAAAATTTATGCTGTCATAAGTCAATTCAATAGTTTTGAGAGTTTAGGTTCCCATTAAATCCCAGTACGTTTTCTTTTATATCATTTTTTAATTTCCTTTGGTAGTGATCCATTTTTCATCCTTTCTTCTTCCAGGAGGTTTCTACACAGACCAGCTGGCTTTTGTAAATGACAGCTGCCTTCACTGCGAAAATGGGACTTTTGTCCATTACAATAATGCTCCAGGGAAAAGTCCGTTTGATTGTAGGGCATGTCCACAAGGTGATTATCTTAAATCCCCTCTGTTACCCGGCAAACTATAGAGTGCAATAGACCATTTTCGATATATTAAAATTCATACTTGGCTCCAAGGCTTGGGGGAATAAAACAAAGGAAATGTATTATTCATTATTGAGCCTCAAGATGATTTCTTTTGTTTTATTTTCCAAGCCTCGCAGCCAAGTATGAATTTTAATATACTGGATTTGGTCTTTTGTGTTGCCTTTTAAGCTACATGTAAGACTTTTCCGTGGATAAATTCCCCTCCCTAATATTTGTAGATAATCATTTATGCCAACAATTAAAATCCTCTTTATAGTTAAATTTAGAAGTTCAATACCGGGATTTTTATTGATCTATTTGAGGCAGTTAGCATTTTTGCATGTTCACTTAAAAACTATGGCTTATTTAATAAACGCATCTGGGGAAACTGGTTATAATTAAATGCACATCCATATTGTTTTAAGTTATGATTAAAACTAGAGGTTAGAAATTCTAAGCGTATAATGCTAGCTGCAGCAGATGCTGGGCAGTGAAACATCATCTTAGCCGAAACGATAAATGGCGATGCACATAGTTCTAATCATGGAGACTCCTTTATTAAGCCAATTATATAAAAGTTGTGGGATAAAGGATTACACGGAGTGAGTTCTTTGTGATTTGTTTGTTAATTGGCCAATTTGCAGTCATACTTATTTGAAACTGTTTACACGCGCAACTGAATGAGCCAAACGTAGCGCAGTTAGAATGACGCAATGAGAGTGCGTGATAAGAGTACAAATTAACTCATCGTGCCGTAACACCGCTGACTAACATCCTGACAAAAAATTCAGATAGAAACGCCTAAATGGCAACAGGACACCAAAGGGACCACAGGAAACCAGGGATTAGTGCTACAAGGGTGCTGTTTGAGGAAGCTGGGCTTAAGAAAGTTAGAAAGTTGTGACAAAGAAAGAAAAGAAAACAGAGACAATAATAAAACCAAATACCTTGTATTTTTGAAGAAAGAAAACGAAAAGATTAGGTTAAACGTTCGGACGTGACAATCCAATTAAGTACGCCGGAGCTGTGTCTAGTATGAATAACTCGAACGCCCGACAACTACAATTGACACTCCACGGGAGGTAAATGTCACCGCAAAATCCCAACTGATACAAGGAACACGGATCAAATGGAGAAATTACTCGTAACATTATAGCAGCACCCAACGTAACTTGTACGTACGAAGCGAGCGCAACCAGGTAAATTCAATTAGTTTATACCTCAATGAAAATTCGAAAACCACACTTCGTTGGTCGAGAACATTTTTACAAAAAGATAGCAACAAGGCTACAACTAAAACAAGCCGTGGCAATATAACACTCACCCTTGCTTCAAATGAGTTTACACCTAAACATACCTATAAGTGAATAGTCGTTTTCTTTCATGTATTATTAACAACTGTCTCCCCACATAACAATAGGTGGATAGGCCTACTTAAAAGCACCCCTTTTACACCAACTTACCTGGCCGTACCCGATCACTTCTAACTCTGACTGGTTAGTTAAAACAATAAGGCGCAGATTTTAAAAGCGCTAAAAAGCCGTTAAAAACAAAGCATTGGCACAAAGCTAGAGCTAAACTGAAAAAACTTAAATTTAGTCGTGATTGGTTATTACAAAACCGTTTTCTCCTAATTTCCATCGCGATGAACGGACTATATCTTGATGCTACTGAAAGTCTCAGTGTTTAGTTAGCTTGTTGTGGTGTTTTACGCTTCGTAAACGTTCGTAAACTATTAATATATCGTACCTCATTGACTTAAATTTGCCTCTGACCTATGAACTCTCTCATTCATCTTTTTGTGTTCTTGTTTAATAAACAAAAAGGCTGAAGTCTTCTTTACAAAGAAACAAGAGACTATTATACCGTTTCAAAATACAGTTTTATAGAAAAAATAAATAAAATAATGTTAATCTACGAAGCTTATCGAATTGATTCTTTCTATTTATAAGGATAAAATATATTGTAGAGGTCTATCGGGCATCGTTTGTTTCTTGAAAAATCTTACACTGGGACCATCTTTGTGCAAATAAAACCATTTCGATGTTCTATATTGCCTTAGTGTCCTGTTTTGAGAGGCCAGTAATATCTATATTAGTACGATGGAAGACAGAATTTAACGAGAATAAAGAAAGGGGCTTAATTTTATCCCTTAATAACTACTCATGAGCACTTCAGGAAGGTACATTAACAACATTAGGTGTGTTATCAGATGGGATTATCAAACGTTTATCACAGCCAGTCGTACACTGTACTACAACATTTGAGGATACAAGATTTTTTCTATGATCATTATTAGAGCGCGTTCACAATTTATGAGAGAAATTAAGGCAGGAGTGACTAAGCAGGTGTGATGTGATTATCCAATTCCACTTTGTGGCATTAAAAATATGAGGGTTCTTTGACGGAGTGGTTAGCTCACTAGCGAGAGCGTGAGGATTCGGGGACTCTAACAAAACTTGGATGCTTTTCTTCTTTTAATGACTGTCAGCAACACACTCGAGCACTTTAACATCTTCAACAGCTCAACTACTATACTACAGCTCAACAACAACGTACTGCACCAAATTTTTGTCAACTTATATAATTTAAACGTAGGTACGTTCACGCTTGCTGACCACGAGAGTAACGCCAACGCCCTTCTTAGTGATTTATGCGAATTTCCTGTTGATCACAAACATGGGTGAAAACAAAGTCATAAGGTTGTACAATTCAAGAACTAGGAAAGCAGTAAAAAGCTTTACAACCAAACCGACGAGGCGGCTCGACCTTAAACCTAAACAGGAACTCCGATGTGGGTAATATAACAATCAAGATCAGCTATAACCCCAAACGTACTCACTTCTAGGGCTGACAATCCGACTTAATTTAACCACAAGATAAATGATGACACATATCGACAAACCCAATAAAAAAATAATAACAGTCAAAAAACCTGTTAACACAAATGTGGATTAACCTTGTTCTTCAAACCTAAACATAACGAAACCCTACGCACGAGCGCGAGCTTGGGAACAAAAAAAACTATCGGCAAAATCCTCATGATAAAAATGACTTTTAAAATAAACACAAAACTACTTCACAACAAATATGTCGAGATTCTAACCATCTCGCGGATGCCGATCAATTGTGTTTTTAGACGGTTAACATTTCAGCCATACAACTAACAGCTTACTGGGCAGTTCTGACGCGAGTGTCTGTGATCAATTGTAAGGCGCTTGCAAGGCCGGTGTAAAGCCCATATCTGGCTGGTGCTGGTTCAAAGACGAAGGGGGAGACCCCCAAAATGACTCTCCTTTAGCGATATCCTCTAACATATCTTATTTAATGGAGGCACGCTACAGTAAACACCCGCATATAAGAACAAGCGGATTAAGAACACCAGGCTGAAATTTGGCCAATAAAGCCCCATTTTTATAAGAACAAGATTAGCCTGAAAATTGTAACTTGAAATAAAATGGAAAAAGTGTCATGATTACAAAGCATGTAAGTTTATGATATAATATAATATATAATATGATCAAATTACAGGATAATTATTTATTTTATTTTGCTAAAATATGCTTAAAATATACCTCTAGCAACATGTTTTGGATAGTATTACTTAATAAAAATTTAAGAACATTTTGAGGCTGATTTGTCATTAAGCACCCGATAAATAAGAACTCAATCAGCCTGACCTCCGAAATCGTGTGTTCTTATATGCGGGTGTTTACTGTACTTGACTATACATGCTTTCATGCTTTTTTTTTGCATTAACCCTTTTCTTTTACTTATGTTGTCTATACAAATTCCCGTCTTTCTATTCATGTTCGAGAAACAACAGTTTTCCACGCATTCATTTCCTCCCCAGCTTCTTGAATTTTCTTAACGAGAGAAAGGAATAAACTCAAGAGGCATAACTTCTTTTTTATTTTCTAAATTTGAAAACGAGATAGCCACGAATTGGTAATGTTTAATTTTAGTACTAAAGACAAGGTCTAAGAAGTTTACCATTTTCTGGGAAGATTTAAAATAAAACGGCGTTCTATTGATACAAGTATTTGCCTGAACATTCTTCGTGCCTTTTTTCTTCGTTATTAATTATTATTATTATTATTATTATTATTATTATGTACACTTGTACTCTTTTTGCGCAAGTTTTCTGCAATCACTAATGACATGGGTAACACCTTCACCTCTCTCGTGACACATTAAACACAATGGAGATTCCACACTCTCGTCCGTATTTAAGTTTGCATAATTCGTCCTCAAAGCTTGTTCTTGGGCCGCACAGATGAGAGCTTCAGTGCTGGATTTTAGGTCTTTTTTTTTTAGCCAAGTCCATGTCATCACCCTTTTCTTCCAGCTGCCTCAGAAACTGATCATTTATTTTATTCACGTCTCCATGATTTCACTTCTTCTACTGCTTCCTTTTTAAATTTCTCTGGTTTACAGCAGCTTCTACACCTGCCACTCCCGATGCTTTCACTTTCTCCATCAACTGCCTTCCATTACTGTTCCCAAAGTACCACACACTGTTCTCGTTGCTCGGGATACATCTTTTGCAACTTATTAAACCCCTTCAGCTTTTTCCTCTTGAGATGTAAAGCCTTTTAATTAATATCACTCTTAGGGTGAGGTGCACCATGCATGGTCATCAACTTTCGAGTTTGTCTGTCCAATTACTTCAGCTCCTCTGTTGTTCACTTTAAAGCTCCTGTTCCGTACCACAGCACAGCAACTGCCCATATATTGACTGCCATGATCTTGTTTCCCCCATGAAGTTTTGACCCCTGAATCAGCTTGAGGCGTCTCTTATATAATTCCTTCTTTAGCTGTTGTTTTATTTCTTCATCGCTTACTTTATTTAGATCTAGAATCTTGAGGTATCTGTACACTCTTTTTTTTTATAAGAATATATTTTATAAGAATATCGAGGCTGAAATTTGCGAAATTTTAAGAATATTTTAAGAATAAAGCCAAGGCTGAGATTTTGAAAAGGGTAGATATAATTTTGTGTGTTGAAACATCTGTAAATACAATACAATTTTATGTTTTTAACTTAACCGTATAAAATTATTCCTTTCTCTGAGCGGCGAAACTAGCCAAGAAAACGAAAAAACTTGCAGTAGCTATAGCAAAATGTTCAACGCTAATGACAGTTCGATGAACGGTACATGTATTACATATACATATACCCCTATAAATTCTAAAACGGAAATGTCATAAGCTATAATTTAAGAATAATACAAGAATATTCTCAGCCTAAAATCGGCAGAGAAATAAGAATATTCAGCCTGGGCCGGAAAAACAACATTCTTATAAAAAAAAAGAGTGTATCCACCTTTTCCCACTTCATTTATTATTTTCCTGCTGGGTAGCTCAGTCTTTCACATCCAACCACCTTAGCTCTCTCCAAAACCAACACCCCGCACTTTTGAAGACCCATTCCAAGTCCTTACTCATTGTATGCACAGTATTCACAAGGGATTCCACTTGACTCTCCCTTTTCCCAAACAGCTTTAAATCATCCATAAATAACTGGTGATTTATCATTGTATTTCTTATGATGTAGCCTTTATTCAGTTCTCTCAGTAAAGGGTCAGTGGTCGTGTAGATTACAAACGGTAGTGGTGGCAAACTATCAGCTTGAAAGATGCCTCTTCGAATTTTAACTTTCTCTAATCTCACCCGATGATATTAAATTTGTCTTCTAACCTTGCATGCTTTCTATTGTAAACACTCTGATGCATATTGTCGGCAATTTTTTAAGAGGTCTGGGCACTCTATTATTCATCTGTGTTGAACCAGGTCGAAAGCTTTCCCGTAATCCACCCATGCCATTGATAAGTTTTTGTCTCTTCTTTCAGTCTTGCAGAATCATCTTATAACTCAACGGATGATCTTTTGTCCCCTAACTTCCTTTGCGGCATCCCCTTTGCTCTTCTGGCAGAAAATTATTTTTAATCAGGAAGTTGTACGTGCTTTCCGAAACCACCCCGCCTGTCGACAGATTCCACATAAAGGGTAGACGTGATATATTGGACGATAATTGTCTACCCCATTCCCAGGGTCTTTAAACACAACATTTTTTTTTGCCCAGCGTCATCCACTCTGCGATCACCTTCTTCCCATTCAGAACATCGTCAAGCTGTTCTGCAATTCGGTCATGAAGGGAGGTCAGCTTCTTTAACCAGAATCCTTGAACTCTGTTTGCTTTGTGCTCTTATCATTTCTTCCGTGATAGTCACATTGTCTTGCTTGACAATTCCGTTCTTTGTTCACAGCTCCTCCTTTATTCAACCTTTATTTAAAAATTCCTAGTCTTGCAAAAGGAGTGCCATTGCGCAAGACGTCTAGTTAAACATATAAAATTAAGTGTATAATAATGATAGTAAGCAGGTTGAGTACGGTCCGGGTGTACGTAGTCGAAAAGGACTGCTGTTGTTGACTGTGACTGGCGTTTCGACAGCCTTTGCGCTAGTCATCTTCAGAGTCAAAGCGAGTTTTATCACGTCAGTTGATAGTATTGGTCGTCAGATGGATGTTATTGGTCGTCTGTCAGTTTAGCCGTGATGATATTGGCAATGAAGACTCGTAACTCGTCAGTTAGGCTTTGACAGCTTTTGCTCGCAAAAGTGGCATAATATTCTACTTAGCAATGTTCGTTTATTTCTAAAATTATGCCATTTATTAGTCTCTTTTATTTTGAATTACGCTAGTCAAAAATGCAGAAATACTGATAGCTTCTACTGTGTACAAGTAAATGGCAAACCCGTTCACCCTATTTACATCTAGAAACTTTAAGAGTGCATAATTCATTGTCTGACAACTATTAACAACCAGCACGCGGATGCCATCTTCAGTTGGTTAACTGAATTAGATATGCGCATGCATTGAGTTCTGTGCAAATAGTCCTGGGTCACTTCCTGAAGAGAAAAAATTGATTTCGTTACGTCAATTTGCCTGTAACATTGAGCTCGGTTCGGTTGCATGATCAATAAATGACAATTTTGTACTGCAAATTTAAACTAGATAAAAGTGCAAATATGCCAGCAGACGAGTGCTATTTTTCGGAAAAATAGGTGAAAATAGTGCTTGTGATGACAAATTATGCCAAAAATTATGCTACAACCAGTTGCAAAGATGTTGACACACTCCCACGGAAAAACGACCTTTCTTGCTTCAAATTGCTCCTGGTCACAGGTCTGTAAAATATGATACTGACCTCCCTCCTCCCTCCCATTCAAAGTTGTTCCCCCAAGTTTTGAGTATGGTCTTGTATTGCTAGCAACTTTAATAAGGGGTGTAGGGGGGATCACAAGCACAAGATCATGGACAGGCCATTTATGCCAAAATACGGTACAGTGTCTCAAGCACTTTTGCAACTGGTTGTCTCATTTAAGGTTTACTTCAACAAGCGATCTCCACGTCTTAAATTCCCAAAACGAAGACTGTAGCGACATAAATAAATAGAATGGCACTTTGTGTTGCTTTTCCCAGCCGATACATCATTGTCATTGATAGCAAACTGCCTAAAAAAACCGCTTAAGAATGTAGTGACTTGTAAATTTTGCCTCAGTTTTGTTGTAACGCATGCGCCATTATCTAATGTGACATAGCTTAAAGTTTAGGCGTTGACATTAAACTCTGAGAAGCGCGAGTGCAGAATCACAGCATAATTTTCCTTTTCTTGGTATTTAGAGATACTATAGTTGCGAATAAAGCTGCCAAACCTTCATTTTCACCCCTGTATCTGTAACTCAACGGCATTTGATATGCAATGGCGTTATGTAATCGGTATACCACGTGACTTATTTTTCAACATCGCTGTTAAAGTAAAACCGTTTAGTTTTTTTCATCTACTACGGCGAAAATAAGATGGTTATTAAAGTCCGCTAGAGCTAGAGAGCAGAAAAAGTTGTGTGCTATGTTAATTTCTATTTTCTGACGGTCTACCATCATCCACGGTCTACCATTCTGCAACAGTAAGAAATACGATATTTTATTATATTTATCTCATTTGATGGTAGACCGTGTAGACCGTTGAAGCACGTAAATTCCTGACCTTGCTGTGCTGGAAAATTGCTTCTTCTTGGGGATAGTGTCTTCCTTTTTGCAAAGAAATAAATTTCCTTACCGAGCACAGAACTGCAAATCCACGTTATATGCGAGCTCTCGCGACTGTGTTACTGAAATACGCGCGTGAATTTTCATTATCTGATGCCTAGCCACACTCGGGGTTTAAAATCGAAACAAAGTTGTAAGACGACCAAAGAGTAAACAAAAATCCAAACTTGTGTTAAGTAAAGTAAATTCGACAACAGCTGCTTTTTAGCATAACTTTTCTGTCCTGTAAATGGCAGGCGATAAAAGAGGAACCACGTCCACGTACTTATCAGAAACAACAACAAAAAGCTATCTCCTTGATCTAGCGGGGCATCTTACGTTACTTTCCTTCCATAAATAAACATCCCATTCAAATTTGTTCCTCCAAGTTTTGTAGTATGGTCTTTTATTGCTAGCAACTTTGATAAGGGGTGTAGGGGGGATCACAAGCACAAGATCATGGACAGGCCATTTATGCCAAAATACGGTACGGTGTCTCAAGTACTTTTGCAACTGGTTGTAGCAAAATCTTTCAAAGCCTAATAGCAGCTAACTTTACTTAAAGAAACTAGTGCCTCGAGAAGCCGAAGTCATGCAGCTACCCTTGAATTTTGCGCTGAGCTATTTACTAATGCTTTGTTTAAAACTTTTTATAAAGGAAATAAAGGGAGATGTAAAGAATCAACCATAAGAGGACACAGAAAAAATCTGAGCCCCAGATGGGATTCGAACCCACGACCCTCCGTGTTCTAGATCGGATGCTCTAACCTCTGAGTTTTACTAACGCCAACTTTGAGAACAGGTTGATGTACAGTATTGTGCAAAAGAAATGAAAGCGGATGTCGCCGAAATCGAACAAATTGTGAACTTTCCATTCAGACGAAAAAGTGGCTAAGTCTTAATGCATCTATTGTTCTAACGTTGACGAAATTTCGCAAGCTTGATGATGAACCGAAACGAAATTTCGCTGCGTGAGAAGAAATTTCGTCTCTTTGTTTGCTCGAATCGAAACGAAATTCCGTTTAGTCAAGGCGACATTTCGTCTGGCGAAACGAATTTTTTGTTTCAAAAATTCTTAAATACTATAGAATACAGCTGTAATCATCAGCTCATTGCTAAAGTACATGTATGCGCGATCCTAATTAATTTCCTGTGATTTATGAAAAAAAAAGATCTCATCGATTGCTACAATTGTTGTGGAGATAAAACGTAAGATAAGATAAAACGGCGCTTTTTATAAATCAAATAGTATTTTTTAGTTTTCAACATAATTTTGTTTTACTTAGAGGATGATTACATGGCAACTGGCTGAGATTTCAGCTCGGGTTCTGAAGGAAATCATCCGCTTGATCCAAGTAAAACGAGAGATTATACAGGCGGGTTACCTCACCTACCTGGGGTCCCCCACCTCCATGTAAACAGGCCCTTAGTCATAACACTCGTAGCAACACAAACCATGACAAACGGCAAGCATAAATTATAATATTTGAAGTTCTTCGGTTGGCAAACGATTAGGCTTATTTTCGCAGTAGGAAATTTTCCATTGCCACAAAAAGCGAGAAGACTCTTAGTCTGTCAAGTTCCGTGAATAAAAAACACAACCAAACACTGTCCAAAGGAAAGAAAAATATGCTGCAAAAATACATACATACATACATACATACATACACACATACATACATACATACATACTTACGACGGTGATTTTTGCTAGGAACAATTGCACGTTTGTAACGTTCGGCGTCAAGTCAATCTTATGTTCTTGCTTCTTAAAGTGTATACAGACAAGAATAACTGAAAACGGGTTTAATTTTTTGTCTTTGAGAGCCAAATTATATACCCGGCGGCACAAGTAAACGATGCCGCTCTTGAATTACATGAAAAGTCTCTGCTTTTTATTTGTGGTCTTTATTTGACAGACTGTGATAACGACTATGAACTTGAAAAGGTTAGAGTAGCAGAATTGTCTCTTGGTGACATCAGCGTTGCTCCTGCCAGGAGTACCCAACGAACTTTTTTTCGCAAAATTGATTATACGATGTCGTAAACGCTAGCAAAGTGCCTTTACGTCAACCTATGTTAATATTTAAGTTTCCTGGGAAAAAAATACCCGCTCTTCACTGCTAGCCAGCAAGACTTTCAGAAAATAAAAATCCCAGCCAGCAATCATGTTTGACGGTTTTTTGCCAGCCAGCAATGTTAAAAAAACAAAAATTACGCAATCCCAGTCAGAGTGAAACGGAATTCAGTGTTTGCCAGCCAGCGGTAGCAGAAGTAAGTTATGAGCCAGCCAGCAAAGTTTCATTTAACACATTGCCAAGAAAAACATGTAAGTCAGTAGGCAAGATCTGCTTTTCGTCAAATTTACATAATATAAAAGAAAAGCGTGTTTAAGCTGTTTCACCCTTTTATCTAGTTGTCGTTTTTTTTTCTTGAGATATAGGGAAAAGATCAGTGTATTTGTTTAGTATATGTTATTCCCTATCCCTAAGTATTACATAACAATAACATACCAACTAATGGCATTCAGCGGTACTTACAGTTTTGGAATGTGGACTTGAGGAGTAGTCTTGAGTTTGCCAGGTAAACGATAAAAAAGAAGATCCCGAACTTTGTCCATAACACAATAACACGTAAAAAAAAGCGATCACCGCTAAGCCTTAAGACCAATGCATTTTTTCCAACGATAATCGACTGAGACGAAATAAAGTTTTAGAATAAACAACATAACGAGTAAGCTCGATCTACGTGTGGTCTCCTCTGCAAAATCACCCCAAATTCAGTGTAGACACATGCTTATCGCCAGCATTGTATGCCGTGCCTACTGTTACCCCGCAAAAAGTTTACACCAGAACCGATAGAAAGTTTCGAGTAAACAGGCTTTCCGTCGGAAACTTCTAACCGCTACGGCTGAATATCACGAACCCAAAAATTAAGGTAACGTTTGCAGTCTTTAACTCGAGTTTCAACGTGGGGAGGATGGTTTTCTCTTTCGTCATTTACGTAAACGCCTGAGAGCAAACAAGGACCTTTCTGTTGCGGTATAAAAAACAATACTGTCCATGTTTTCAAGTATGCTATGGCAACAGTTTACTTTTTAAAGCCAGACTGATAACGTGTTCTTGTAGTATTTTTCTCCGCACTAGTAAGAGCTTGTCATCCTGAGTTTGATCTTACTCACTCATTCTTTCTGTAGCCAAGAAGCTATAATGGTATGTCGTCAGACAATCACCGTAAAAGTTTCACACCAGAACTGGTGCAAAGTGTCGCAGCAAAATCCAGTAGTCGTAGGTAGTCAGTCGGGCAATCACTGTAAAAGTTTCACACCAGAACTGGTGCAAAGTTTCGCAGCAAAATCCAGTAGTCGTAGGTAGTCAGTCAGGCAATCACCGTAAAAGTTTCACACCAGAACTGGTGCAAAGTGTCGCAGCAAAAGCCAATAGTCGTAGGTAGTCAGTCAGGCAATCACCGTAAAAGTTTCACACCAGAACTGGTGCAAAGTTTCGCGGCAAAAGCCAGTAATCCTAGGTAGTCAGTCGGGCGATCACCGTAAAAGTTTCACACCAGAACTGGTGCAAAGTGTCGCAGCAAAAGCCAGTAGTCGTAGGTAGTCAGTCAGGCAGGCAATCACCGTAAAAGTTTCACACCAGAACTGGTGCAAAGTTTCGCAGCAAAAGCCAGTAGTCGTAGGTAGTCAGTCAGGCAATCACCGTAAAAGTTTCACACCAGAACGGGTGCAAAGTTTCGCAGCAAAAGCCAATAGTCGTATGTAAGTCAGGAATGTTTTGTTTTGCAGTCAGACAATCACCTATAAAGGCATATAACCTGATGTCGTGCATGCGATGGTCGTGTGACATCTATAAGTTATAGAATCGAAGCGCAGTTGAACAGTGATAAAAGTGTTGACAAGCCTACACGACTCCTGCAGTTCGCGGATGAATAAATTCTAATAAAGCCTTCATAGCTTAGCTTAAACTAGGATGTCCTTTAGGGATTTTCCCTTACGGTATGAGATGATGGGGGGCTCCTTAAAGATTTCTCTCAGTTACGGTTGGTTTTCTATAAGGTGCCATTTCCCCATGAGTGTGTCCTTTAGGTTAGGCAAAGCCGGATGGTATTGTGTTTCAAAGGGCAGTATATTTTCTTAGGTGCGGTTTTGTTTTTCTGCGCTAGCGACATTTCTCTATCAGAGAATTTAATCTGTGAAAGGTGTTTTTCTACAATTCTAGCTGGGTAATCTCTATTCTGCAGGCGTGTTTTGAAATTACTCATGTTTTCCTCACAAGTAAATTGAAGGGAATTTGTTCTCAGAAGCCTTAACGCTTCTCCTTTTATAAAGCCTTTCGTGATGCCTCGTGGGTGACACGTGTATTGAAAGGTTTCTGTAGCTTTGAAATGCGTTCGCACGTCAAGAATAGATTCCTTTTTGAATCTGTCACCTTTTTACACTTTCGTGTCTAAGAATGTGGTTTCTGTTTCTGAGATTTCAGCCGTGAATTTGATCGTTGGGTGAAAACTGTTTGCCTTTACAAGGAAATCCTCTATTTTGTCTCTGCTTGTGTTCCACATAGATATGACGTCATCTATGAATCTCTGAGTCACTGTGTTCGAAGATATGAAAAAATTTGCTAACAGAGCTCTTACAATTTATACGATAAAAAGCTTTAAGAGCAAGAAATGCCTCAGCGTCAAAACAGATACTGGTATGAAAGTCAAAGAATGATAGCCGTTCGCGATTTACCCCGCTATACTACAATTTACTACACAGACGTTAGCATTGAAATGCAACGGCACACTTGGATGTTGCCTTTTTTAAAAAGGTCTAAAAACAACAGTTACTATAACGGACGCGAAATACGTCAATATACGGGTAGTACAAACGTAAAATCTTTTTACCTTTTCCAATCCTAACAGACATCTGTACAGTTGCTAAACGCCTTCCAAATGATCATAGATCGAGGAGGTTTCCCGTGCCGGTGAGCACATAACAAAAGAGAAATTGGTTCCAACGGAAATATTCCAGAGCGCGCAAACCTGGGCAACATTGCAAGCGAGCATACCGAATGAAGTCAGTTCTGAGTTCACTCCGCTAAGAGACCAGAGTGCATTATTTATGGAGAGAGTTTTTGTATTCAATCGTCTCAATATTTGATGGCATTTATGTGCATTAGCGAATGTTCTTAATTCGATACAGATGCACGGCAACCTGACAAAGAAACACAACCGTTTTGCTTACCTTTTGGCCGCCTTAACATCAGGTTTAAGGTAGAACGTAGGCCAGTAGCTGATATGTAGACAGGCATATTAAAACACGAACACACAAAAGTGTTTTCTATAAAGGATCGACAGGGAAACGACTATAAAAGACAAAGCGGTGAGCGGTGCTTGACTCAACTGTGTCATTTTCTCACGTTTTGCTTACACACCCAAACAAATTTCCGTTTTTACAGGCAAAAGGTGTCATTTCTACAGCCCTCGTGGGGTGATTTTCACGCGCACTTACTTGCTTCGCTCGCTCTAATATCCATATAAAAAATTACAGTGCGATTGCCAGGAGAAAAAATATACCTTTTTATCCAGCCAGAACCAGCATGAAGTTTTCATATTTTCAGCTAGCGAGGCGCTCATTCAGATTTCCCAGCCAGCTAATTTGCCAAGGTTTTTTTTCCCAGCTAGCTCAAATTCTGCCTGACGAGCGGGTTTTTTGTCGAGCGGCTCCTTCGGGTACTCCTGTCCTGCTAGTACTGCACGAAATCTTGGAGTTCTGTTTGATCAAAATCTGAAGTTTGATGCTCAAATTACGAAACATGTTGTGCAGGTTATTACTATCTGTACAATATAAGAAAGATCTGGAAATACTTAACGTTGGATTCAACCAGATGTTTGGTTCATACACTGGTAATGGGGCGCGTAGATTACTGTAATAGTTTACTCTACGGTCTCGCAACAAATAATATCAATAAGCTACAGCGTCTTCAGAATATGGCTGCCAAGTTAATACAAATACTCCGCGGTTTTGTCACATCACACCTAGTGTGTCAGTTGCACTGGTTACCAATAGGTGTCAGGATTAAATTCAACGTGATACTTATAACATCTAAAGCAATACACGGACTGGTTCCATATTAGCTGTGGTCACACTACAGACTTTTTACCTAGGTAAACACGACTTGTTGACAGTTTACCTAGGGAAACTTGATTTTTTAAGTGTGACCGATTTTTCCCCAGATAACTTACCTCGGGAAAATTTTATCGTCTGGGTCTTGGATATGTCTCGAAAACAATAGAGTTTCCCTTGACAGCTACCCCAAAGCAATAGCTAGGGAAAAATGAAATACCGAGGTTGCTAGCCAATAGAAGCTCATCGGCGAAGGTCTTGATGACAGAACTGGACATAGATCACGCTGTGAAAGAAATTTTGGGAGCACGAGTCGTCTACGTTTTCGCCTTTCTTCACCTTGCACGTTGAATTAGCGTAAGAAATAACAGCGAGATAAAAGAAAAAAACGTCTCTTTGATCAGCTAGATCCCTGCGCATTTTGCCTTCTTGAATTTACGTTCCAAAAAATTCAACTGACGTGACAATTTTGGGAGCCGATATCAGTAGTGTGACCTTCCCAGAATTTTTACCTAGGTAAAACAAAACCCGAGATGAATTTACCTAGGCAGATTTTTGATGAATTTGCCCTAGGTAAATCGGTTTTACCTAGGTAAAAGTCTGTAGTGTGACCACAGCTATTATATACAAAGTTTAATCGAAGTCAAGGAGGAGTCCTCCTACAACCCGAGTTAGGTCAAATGATGAACTGTTACTTGCTCCACCGAAGTTCAATTGAAGTCTGAAAAGACCTTAGGCGACAGGGCTTTCCAAGTGGCTGCGCCGACTCTATGGAACAAACTTCCAAGTGCATTAAGGATGGAAAGAAGCTTGAAGCCTTTTAAAGCCAAGCTGAAAACTTTACTTTTTAAAGAAGCCTAATTATTTTATAGTTTTAAGACTCATGAACGACTTGTCGATTAACGTTTTTAAGATGATGTCAATTACTTAGTTTCAATATATTTTCTAATCGTATCTTATAATTGCCTTTTTAATTGTATATATAGAGAGATTTATACTAAATTTTTAGGGTTTATATTTATTTATTTAGTTATTTATCTATTTATTTATTATCTGTTTTTATTCTATTTTATTTTTATTTTTTGTTACCGCGCATTAGATCATATATTTGCTATTTTGCACCTAATAAATAATAAATTATTATTTACTATTTAGTTCTTACTAAGTCCTTTTTTAAGCACGCGTTAAAAAAGGAAAGCACAGCAACAAAGAAAAAACTTGCTTGCCGAAAAAACTATTTAACCTTATTTTAATTATTTATGCAATCATCTCCCTAACAATGGTTTCGATTTCTTTTGTTTGACAGGCACTAACCAATATGCATTTGCAGGATTTCGCGCCTGTAAATGTTTGGATAATTACTACCGAACGAATCTGTTTGGGAATTGTACACCATGTGAGAAGAAACAGGGACTAAATTGTCACGATGATTTTGCGAATCTTACAGTTGGCTTTTGGTGGCGGTGGAAAGATCAGACACACTTAGAACAGTACAGAAACTTCACTAAAAACCTAAAGAATTTCTCCTTTACTCCTGAATTACACAAAGCAAATGATTCCGGTATTGAATACCCGTACACCATACCTCAACCGTACAGATGTCCCATGGCAGAAGCTTGTAAGGGAGGTTTAAATTCTTCATGTGAGGCTGGTTATGAAGGACCGCTATGTGCAGTTTGCAGCGATGGATATCACAAACAACTGAAGAAATGTAAGCTGTGCCCAACAAAAGGATGGATGATTGGACAGCTTGCAATTATTGGGGCGTTAGTTATAATATTTGTTATACTTGTGGTGTGGGGAAGCAAGAAAAAGAGCAAAAAAGACGCTGGACGACCTTTCCTTGACAAGCTCCTCGGAAAGATTAAAGTTGTGATTGGCTTTTATCAGGTGCTGTATGGGATCATGGAGGCGTTTTCATACGTAAAATGGCCTGGAAGTCTTTCCGTTGTTGGGGAATATTCCGAGATTATTCAGATGAACATCGTTCAGATAGCTCCCCTCCACTGCATCCTTCCTGGCTTTAAATTTGACGCATTCACAAGTTTAATTGCAGTTATGGGATTTAATATTGCAGCAGTCATCGTCGCCCTTTCTAGCCTCGCCCTTGCCACTTGGATATCGACACGACGTATGTCGAATGAAGAAGAAAAAAGGAAGAAAAAGGAGCGCATTAAAGCGATCGTAAAGAGAAATCTGTTTTTCTTTCTTTACGTGACCTATCTGAACACTTGCCTAAAAACTGCTCAAGTCGTACCTCTTGCCTGCCACAGGATCTGCGTTGACGAAAAAGATGCTGAAAGCTGCGAGAAGTATTTAAAGGCCGACTACAGCATTGACTGCAAAGGAGAGAGATATAACCGATTAGTCATCGTGGGATACTGTTCCATTGTGTATGTAATTGTCCTGCCTGCTGCTACTTTCATAGCAATTTGGAAACAACAGAGAGCGGCGAAGAAAACTG